TGTGTGTGTGTGTGTGTGTGTGTGTGTGTGTGTGTGTGTGTGTGTGTGTGTGTCATTGGGCAGATTGTGTGTGTGTGTGTAGAAGTCAGGACAACCTCAGGTATAAGTCCCTCCCCTGCACTTGGTTTGAAACAGGGTCTCTCTTGTTGTTCACTGCTGCATACTTCAGGCTGCCTGGCTCCCAAGCATCCAGCAGCTGTCCTGCCTCAGCCATGCACACTGGGATGACAGTTACACCACTGCATACACCTTCTATATGGATCTCGAGGTTCCTAACTCGGGCCATTTAGGTCAGAAAGCCCTTTACACAGACAACCATCTCCCCACCCCCTCTCCCTAGTTTTTCTTGGTCCACAACCTCTACTATTACAGCTGCGTGTCCAGCCGCATCACTGGTCTCAAATCTTCTCCAGAAAGAGTTCCACCTACCTCTAGGAAAGCAGACCGATCGTATCTAATTTGTTTCCCAAATGGCACATTCACAGGCAAACTTCCTACTCCTTCTGACTTCGAAATGTCCACGAATGGGCCACCATCTTCCCAGCACCCCAAATTCTGAAGATCTGGCCCTAATTCTCCCTGTTTCACGGACAGCTTCCTGTCTGAAGCCACCGTCTTTCCTGTGTACGCATTCATATACCGCACCTCTTCTAAGCTCTTCTGTTGTACATGCGGTTTATGGTCCTCACTGGATCTAAGCTCCCTGAGGAAAACATGCTTTGCTCAGTGTAGGCCACCTAGCAGACCCAGCACAGCAGCTGGTGCAAAGCAGAGACTAATAGCCATGCGTGGGTGATACATGCCTGTAACCCCAGCACTCCGCATGCCGAGACAGGTGGATGCAGAGTTCAGAGTCATCTACATAGTAAGACCCTGTCTCAAAAACACAATGAATAAACAAAAAAGCACAATTCAAAAAGGACACAGGAGCATTCTTGGATACATTTTATTTGCATCTCCCACTGTCCTCTTGCCGTCCACAGTCCATGGCAGTGAGCTATAATCCTGTTTAATCAGAGGAAAACTACCAGAGAAACATTCTAAGTGATACCACAGCATGCAGAGCCCCTGCTGTATGGGGTTTGTTATGTGTGTGACCAACATTGTGAGTCATCAGTGAACCACATGAAAACCAAAAAAATCTATATTTGGAAGGGACAGTGAAATGCGTGGGGGACCAAATTCATGCCTCCCGTTAGAGCTCTTCCCTTGGTCTGCTCCCTCGGTGGTGGTGGAATTCCATCATCTCCAGTTGCCTGC